CCGAATCCAAACTTGATTTGGGCTCTAAATGGGCTAAATGGGTCAATTTTGACCCATTAAGACTTGGGTTGACCAAGTCAAATATTGACTTGGTCAACTCAGTCTATCATGCCCATGCTTGGGCAAAATCGAGGTCAACAATCAATACATGGTAAAGGAAGTAACAAGCATTAGAGTTGTGTCAATAATCATATCATGCTAATGTATTTAGGTATTCCAAACTGTAGAGACAAACTAATGCAGGACTAATGGACGCATGCATAAATTTAGATAATGTGTTATAAGTAAAAATCTTGAATCATACTCTATTCACAAATTTGGCTGTCATGTCATTAGTCCAATCAACTAAACATAATGTCAGATTAAGGCTTCTTTTGGAACAACTTTCTTTCTGCTTCTTAAAGCGGCTTTCTAGCAAAAAAAAATTAATTTTTATAATATAAAGCTATTTTAAGAAGCAATAAGAAAGTCGTCCTAAACGAAGCCTAAATCATTTTTAAGTGTGATGTCAAAACAATGGAATAGATCACGGATACAAATAAAGTCATACATACTTGGATGAAATGTATGCACAAGGTATTAAATCAACAATATCTTAGAATCATCCTTGTTATGTTACTCAATTCTACAGTAATAGAAATATAGTCATAAGATATGGTTATCAGATCCAAGTCGCATTATAATAATGTATAGCTCATACCAGGTAATGTCAAATCGTAAATGAAGTTTGCAGGAACCAAGCAAGAGCCATGGAATAACTCTTTCATGTTGTTAACGCAAAAGCATCTAAAGATGCAAGTTATCATACATAGGTGAACATGCAAGCAAGTGACATATACAACTACATGATGCGTTATAAGTGCATTCAGAATATGCTTTGCATCATTCATCTCAAAACATTATTCAATATGCATTGTAGAATAATAGGCAACTGTACTACATTAAAGCATTCTAATCACAAAAAAATAAACATCATAAATCAATAGAAGCATGACCACCAACCAGTGGCCCTGTTTCTAGAATTAGACCACAATCATCATCAAGATGTTGTTGGCATGCTTGCCAACAAGATTGATATCTACATTCATCAGTAGTGGCATGATCTAGTCATACTGCCTTTCATCTTTATACCTCCCAAAAGGAGATAAATTATCCCATGGAACTCAAGTCCATAAACTTACCCTTCAATAGGGTTTATGATTTTATAAGCAAATTGAGTATCTTACACAAATATATCATTCTCGTTCACTGCTCAAAGCATGTATTTCATACTGTATGTGACACTCAAATAAGTAACAAATATATAATGATCATTCTTAATCATAACCCCAAGCAACACTTCACAAAATATTGTGAAACATAACCATGTAGAATCAAAAATCAAGTGACAATATAAATCATATAAAATCAAATATATACATAGTATAATCACAAATATATTGATGTAGCACTCATAATTATACTTCATTCAATGTTGGCAATGACACATCATATCAATATGTCAAATGCCATGCCATAGTATGCATGGACAAAATCATAGGCTTATGATCATGAAGATTTATATGTAACTTCATAGCATGCTTTAGGGATCATGTAGAAGAATTACAAAATATAATAGGCATAAAGACAACCCAAATGTAAGTCAACACTATGTTACACAAGAGCGCTCTTGTAAATATCATGATCATGGAAATCCATACATACTTGTATATCATGTAGAGTTCTGATATACCATGCTAACAAAAATAAGCGTGAGAATACAATCAAGCCATAAGAAATTTAAAAATCATCAATGCAACATCTGGGGAAACTTCAATTTGTTTCCCTTCTTCCGGCTCTCACAAGAACTCTCCCTCGACCTCCTCTCTGTTCGTAAACCGAGCAGCCCAATCCCTCCTCCAACACCAAATTCAATCTCATCCTCACAGTCTGTAAGCCTCCCACAGCATGATCCCAACCTTCCCAGTCGCAACCCTTGCACACGCCTCTATCTACAACTCGATCGAACATCCACCTTATGTCGAACCCGTTGAATAAGTTGCCCGATCTCGTCTCCTTCCTCCTAGATAAACCTAAATTCCAACCGACCAACCTCCCTCCTGCTACGACCTAGCTGCTACAACCAACCTACCCGACCGACTCCACCAATCTAACTGATTGACTCCACTGATCCTGCGATTGGATTCCTACAAGTAGTGTTAGCAAAATTGCGGGGAATACAACAACTTGATTACAAGCAATAACACAAAACCCATTAATGGATATTGTAACCTACCCATGAACAATGGCAGTGGGTTATAATGCTCACATTAATCATGCCTACAACATGAGCATAGATAAAACAACAACAACAACATCATCAAGCCTTTGTCCCACTACGTGGGGTCGGCTACATGAATCCTTTTTCGCCATTGTGTCATATTAAAAGTCAAATTCTCATTTATCGTTTCTAATATTTTTTAACAAAGTCTTTTTTAGGTCTACCTCTATCTTTCTTAACATAAGTCAAATCTAATACATCAACTTTATTAACCGGGTCATCGGAAGGCCTCCATTTAATGTGACCAAACCATCTAAGGCGACTCTCTCTAATTTTATCTTCCACTGGAGCTACTCCAACCTTTTCACATATATGCTCATTTCGTATCCTATCTCGGAGAAGTCCACCAATTTACTCTTGAAAATCTCATCAACCTCATGCAGCAACACGCCCATCAATGATCAAACTAGACTAAGCATCCCTTAATTGACAAGCTATTTAATCTATATTTACAAATTGCACTCTGAATGCATAGACAATAATGTACTACTCATCTCATTCACTCTTATATGTATTTTGTTCAATTATTTTATTCTTTTTGCATATTTGTTTTGTCTCTATCATCCATTTCTATTTACATGAGTTATTAAGAAGCACTACAAAATCATCTCTAGAAGCATATTATGGCTCCTAAGATGAGCTCTCAGTCAGCATAAATGGATTTAATTGTTTTCACTTAAAGGTTAAACTAAGTGCTTGCTCCAATTTCATGTTGATGGCAGGATCGATCAATATAAAACTCAATTGATTATCAAAAGAGTTTAATCAGATCTATAGGATAGATTGTTTTGATACCCTCACCCCAAAAGCTAGCTTAGCTCCATTAATGTTGCTAAAGGGAAGAATCACGTCTATTCAAGAAATCCGTCTATGGGCTTAAATAGAAGCACCTAAGCTAGGTTTGAAAGGTACTTGTTCAGAGTGTCTTGCGTAGTAGCATTTCAAATCATTCCATATTTATTAGACATTCAATTTTAGGCTCCATCATACCAGCTATTTATGTTGATGACATATTATTCATTGTGAGTGATCCAAAAGGCATTCGAAAGTAAAACACAACTAACAAAGGTACTCTAAAGATCTAAAATGGCCCAAAAACTTTATTGGAGTTGAATTTGACTAAAAAAAAGGGGATCTCACTTTCTTTGAGTAAAGCTATTGATCTTCTTAAAGCAGTTGTTCTTGATTGCCCTCATGCAAAATAAGACCACTTCAGATTGCAAGGAATCATTTCAGTATCTATCTTGATATTGAAGGTCAATGGGCAAATTGATATATCTAACTTTTACTAGGACTAATACTTCATTTGTTGTCAAAATTGTAAGCCAACACAAGCAAATTCCAAAATATAAGTATTGGGAGGCTGATTTATGAATTCTCAAATACATCAAAAAGTCTATATTATATGCTAACAGTGAACACTTAAATATAGAAGCATTATGGGACATTATATTTTTGTTTGAGGTAATAATGTTACCTAGAGAATTAAGAAATTCGCCATTGTAACAAAATCCAATGTTGAGGACATACAGAGTCCTCATTATGCATGCAAAACGATGTGAATAAAGACTCTTTAAGAGAGTTTAGTTTTCCAATTACAAAGCAAAAGTTTTGAGTTGTGATGATTGTATTGTCATCTATAATGCCAGCAATCATATATTCCATGAAATAAATAAACTTAATGAAATTGATTGTCATTTCATTTAGGATGTTGTGCTTTCTGAAAAGATTGTCACCCTTCATGTCTCAAGTTCAAAACAAGCAATTAATATTTTTACAAAAGTTTTGGAACTTCATACCTTCTCTCAATTATGTACTAAGCTGAAACTACTTCATATATATATATATATATATATATATATATATATATATATATATGCTCCAACTACAGCAGAAATATTATTATAGGAAATTTCAGATTGCAATGGTACTCCATATATAGTGAGTGGTATGTGTTTATTTTATTATACTTTGGCATATTGCAAATGTCCCTTATTATAAATAGAAAGGTTCTCTAATGAATAATAAATAGAAACCCACTTATCCCTCAACAACTGATTTCTAGGAGTAAACCATGACAACTAATTTCCAACATCAATTTACTCAAGCATCACTTACCTGTCAACATAGTCTCGTGACATGATACAAAAGTAGTATCAAAATGATCGTTAAATTTGACCAAATATAATACTATAAAGCAGTGATAATAACTTGGAGAAAGCATATTATTTTGTATATCTTTGTTGACATCTTAAGGTGGCTTGAAGTGGGATAGTTATATAAAGGCCAAAGAATGCAGGAAAACATTGCAATTTACTACATCGTAAAAAAGTAATGTTCAGTAGAAGCTTCTTCATTTTGAAAAAGCAAGGCCAGGCCTAGAGGACCTCTACGTTCAGGGACTATATGTATCACATCTTTGAGTGTATTTTATACTACAGATGACTAAAATTTTTAGGATAAAATAAAACTTTTGCATTTTAAATGATTCATTCCTTGAAGTGCAATGACAAAAAATACCAAGAAGAAACAAAAGCTTGCTATCAATGTCATTCACAATATTTAGCTACTATTTTATGCTACTTGTTAGATAAGATACATATATTGACACTATGAAACTGAAACTTCAAAGTTAAAAGCTGGACCTAAAGCATAATCAACCAGAAGTCAAGCCACATACCTCCACGTAATCCTTGTAGAAGTGCTTAATGGTGGGGTCTGAGAAGAATGAATCTGTCGAGGTCACATTGGCTCCAGCAGCCTGTGCCCATCTTACGTATTGAGCTTTCCCTCCAAATGCATTAAGATTATTCACAAGACAAAGAATTAACCTTATATTGCTCCTCCTTGCATCATATATGACAAAATCCAGCGCCTGATATATAAAAGAAATAATCTTAAATCAATTTTAGTCTGCAAAAGATAGAAGTATCAGAGAATAAATCAATCATTCTGTCATAAAATTTGTAAGGTACAATAAAATTTGATGATTAATATGACAGAGAATGTAACTAACCATCAGCCATGAACCTAATGATCAATATACAACATTCCTGTATTAAATCTGACTCGTTCAAACACACAAAGCTATGAATTATCAGAAATTACTCTCACAAGAAAACCAAAAGACATTTACATAATTATATAATTTGGTTACATTATAAGAACAGCTGAGAGTTGAAAAAACATTGAAGCAAAGTCTGTAGCTTGTCAACTACATGAGAATATTGCATGCTGCACCAAAGCTCAACTTTTCAAACAAACCCACCAGTAAAATTTAGATCCCATCTTGAGGAGATTTTCAGAATCTTATCCAGTAAACTCTTCTCACTTTCAATCATTTAAACCAATCTTCATCAAGTAAATTCTGCTAAGGGGTGAAGTGTGACATAAATTGTATGTCCTATGTGAGACATCATAACTTACAACAAATATTAAATTTTATATGAATTAATCAGCTAAGAATTTGAGAATTATTTTTCGATTATTCTCCCACAACCAAAATCCTGAATCCGCCAACATACGCTATAGGAATACGCCTACACAGTCCAACACCTAATTACAATGGAATATTTGCTAGCTCCAGCACCATCATCTATCCAGTTCAGTTCTTGTATGAAATTCCTTTTCCCCATCAATATTCTTCGTTAATAGCCTACCAATGCTTGACGACAACCCAGGTCCCAGGATTCAAAACTCATCCCGTAATCACAACCCCGCCCCTATAAACACATAGGAGAGAGGAAAGGGGGGGAGGGAGAGAGACATAGAGAAGACACCTGGAAAAGACGCTCGTTGAAACGACCGGGGGAGATCTGGAGCCCATTGGCGCCTCCATCACTGAAGGCCCATGTGCGACAGACAGTCATTCCCATGGCTCGGCCACGGCGGAACATCTCCGATACCTCCTCCAACTTCGAGGAGATCAGCCAGTACGAGTTCCACCCGTTCACGTACACCGGCGTTCCGTCCTCCACCTCCACGAAATGAGTTCCGTTCCGCCCAACGAAGCCCATCTTTGGCTGCAGCCATGGGATCGGAATACGGATTCGAAACCTTCCGTCGCTGCCGGAAGAGATCCAGTTGAAGTACAAGAAGGTGCCGAGCAGAAGGAATCCTAATGCCGTGTACGTTTTTCTTTCCATTTCTCCTCTCCTTGGCGAGTCATCCCTACAACTTTATCTTCTTGGTTTTATGTCTAATAAAGCCACAGTAGATCAAAACTTTTTTACTCCCTGTGACGCCGCGTTTTGGCAGCTAGAGGCGGACAGGGTGAACAGCGGTTACGAGCTTACGACATTTCGGATGAAGTGGATCTGTAGCGTGAGGGTCTGTATGACGGGGCAACAGCTATCGCTTTGGTCAAACAATTTCTTTGTTGTATTTAATTTGAGCAATTTACAATTATGTGCTACTCATATTGAATTTGTTTATATATATATATATATATATTTATATGTCTGCTGCCGTTGTGCTGCCCGATTTTTGTCTGATTTCGGATTTGCCTGGATTTCTTCTGAATTGAAATGCTATCTGTATGTGCTATAAAAAGGGAGCTATAAGGGGTCTGAATCCTATGAGATTCAGTTAGTGTCTGGGAAATCTGAAATGAGCTCAAATCTGAAATCTGATATCTGTTCTGTTCCGGATCTGATGAATTCTGTTCTGGTGCTATAAGCACATCTGTTCTGGTGCCGTGAGCACAAAGGGAGGCATAAGGGGCCTGGATCCTATGAGATTCAGTCAGTGTCTGGGAAGGGAGGCATAAGGGGCCGGAATCCGTAGAGATTCCGTCAGTGTCAGGGCATTTAGCTATGAATGAAATATTATCTGATATCTGATTTGATATGATTCAGATTTCTATATCTGTTCTGTTTTCTGGATCTGTTCTGTAAGAAATTGTGATTCTGCTACGATCAATTCTGATTTCTGAATTTATGTACGATTCTGATTCTGTTGATTTAATCCGTTCTGATTCAGATGTGTACAATTTCTGATTCTGATGTGATCTGTCCGTATCTGTTTTGATTTGTTCTGTTTCGTTCTGATTTGTCCGATTGGATTTCTGTCTGATGAGTTTGATTTTGGATTCTGAGAATTTTGATTGGAAGTTTGTTGCTTTGCTGAGCTGTTGAGCTCACTCTTGTTTTCTGGTGGTTTTCAGGTTCTGGGAAAGGGAAAGAAGTCCAGGAGTAGATTTCTGAGTTCTGATCCGTATAGGTATTGTTTGTACCTTTTGATTTTTGTACAGTCATGGCTTTTCTGTTCTGTCTTTCTTTCTGTTCACAAGCCATGTACTGTATCTGTAGATGATTGTTTTGAGGAAAATGAAAATATAGATGTTTTGTTCCGCTGTGTTTGATGATAAATAGTAGCTCTGTGTTTGTGTGTCTGTTGAGTTGAGTAATTTGGAAGATTCAGTTCAGGAACCAATTCCAAAGCCAGATCCTGGATAAAAAGTTTGGTCGCGGTCCGGCTCGGGCGGGATCCGTCCCCGTCGGGTCGGGTCGTGACAGGTTTGTTGCGGGAATTTCAAAATCTGCAAGCAAGAAATGAACCTAAATAATGTCAAATGTCACTTATGCAAAGGCCCTATATTTTGCTTCGGTGGTGACTTGGCCATATTTGATTGTTTCTTGACACTCTAGTAGTATAGGTTGTTCCCTTTAAGTGAGCATTATCCTAATGTCAATTTGAATCAACGAGCTCATAGGCCCAATCAAAATTAGAATAGGAATGAAGAGAGAGATCTCCTGAAGTGATTGGAAGTCTGAGAGGCATGCTGCCTTTGATATATCAGAGAAGATTCTTCATGTGTTGAAAGTGATTTTTTAAGGGGATTGTGCATGAATTAATAGAGTTGATAGGTGTAAAGGCAATATCAACTTAGGTAATAATTAGATATTGTAAGGAGCCAACAATTTATCTATGGAGGCCTAGGTTAGGAAATGTTTGATTGTCAAATGTGAGTGAAGTTTTGAGAGATGTAGAAGTTGGCGTGGGTTTGCAGTTTGCCATGTTGAATTTGTTCAATAGATTTGCTGCATATTGAGATGCAAGAGGATGTGGAGATGATTTGAATGCATAGGAAGAGAGTGACTAGACCAAATTTATTTATATAAAAGTGGCTTTGAAGGTCTTTAATTAAATTGGAAATGGCTAAGGGTTGATTACTAGTGACCAGGATATCATTGACATAGGGTAAGAGGTAGATTTGTGTGGTGGCTATAGAGTCAATGAGTAGTGATGGATCTAAGTTGCTGAATTTGAAACCTAGATGGTGAAGAAAGTTTGAAAATGTGAGACATCATTGTCACATTGCTTGTTTGAGTTCATAGATGACTTTGTGGAATTTGTATACATGATTAGGGTATAGGGGATCGACAAGGCCTGCTGGTTGTGACATGTAGACCATTTCCTGAAGGGTGTCATGGATAAACATATTTGAAACATCAAGTTATTGAACTAACAAGCAGTGGTGAAGAGCTATGATGAGCAAAATATGGATGGTAGTCATCTTGGTGATGAAACTAAAGGCTTGAGAATAATCCACGTCATACTCTTGTTTGAAGCCTTGGGAAACAAGACGAGACTTGTAGTAATCAACAATGTCATATGGTTTTAGTTTAGTTTTGAACATCTAATGACATCCCAAAATTTGTTGATTGGGAGGGGTAGGGATGAAGGACCATGTTTCTTGGCTTTGTATCGTTAAAACTTGGTAGAGATGGATTGTCGCTACACTGGAATTTTAGAGGCCTAGAAGTAGCATGTGGGAGTGGGAGGAGATGATTTGTGAGCAGGTAATGTGAAAAGGTGTTTGGGCTTAAGGTGACTTGTTTTGTAACAAGTTTGCATGGGGTGAGTATTATTAGTAGTATGTGAAGTCGGAGGGAGAGAACTAAGAGTTTTTTTAGGTTTATTGAGCTGAAGGTTGAGAAGGAGAGTTGGGTGTTAATGGGATTGTGGGAATATGTGACTACGAGACATGCACTATTCTAGCATATGGAAGAGTTTTATCTAATGGTGAAGATGTAATGGTTTGTTGTTGATCAATGGTAATACAAAATTTTGTTAAAGTTTATTGTTCTGAACTTGAAGAAGATGGATGTGTGGGAATAGGATGTGTGATGGCTGCTTGCATAATGGAATGAGCTTATCAGTTTATAACTTATCATGAAAAGGCCTTGAAGAGACTTTTAGGCCACCCTGAATTTGAGCCAAGTTATTCTGATGGATTTGATTCTCATAATTTTCTACCTACATATTTAGGGTCCATTTAGCTCTACCATTGATGATGGTATAGAAGGTTAAGAAACTACAGTAGAAAAAAATTGTAAGAAAATGTTGTTAATGTAATACTTAGAACTATTTAGTAGCACCCGTGATGCAGATGCTAAATGAAAAACAAATGATATTGTTTTTATTTGATAAGATATATTATAGATATACTATATAAAATACATAAATTCCTTCATTTAAATAGGTTAGGATATATATTTTCAATCTAGTTTGATTATTTATAAACTTGATTTAGGAAACACTTTTTGATACCCCTTCTAAAATAGCAGTTCAAAAAGCTTCATCACCATTTTGAATGATAACTTATCCTATCAAGTGCAAAATAGATTATCTAAAAGATTATCTTCAAGGAGAAAATTTAGATGAGGATGTGATAATTCAAATTTAATTTGAATGAATTTTTTTAATCTATAAATTTATTTTAAATTTATGCAATATGTAACTTATTAATAGTAAAATGCATCGTATTCTTCTCAAATAATCATGATTGATATATTATCAAAACATTTACTAGATAAAACATAATTTTTTATACCTTTAAATTAAAATTTTCTAGAATTAAATCAGGGTCATGTGAATTTCAATTTTAATAAATTTATAGTTAAACTCATTGTCCAACAAAATAAATCCAACAATACCAATTATGATTTGATCATAGTCCAAATGAGCCTACATTAAGATTTTGAAGTATGATTAGAAAATTTTAGGACATTAATTAAAAGTCCAAACTATCTTAATTTTTTTTGTACACTTACAGTCAAAATGAGCATATCGATGAGTGAAATTCAAAAAGCTTGAGATCGCTCAACTCCTATTTTATTGGGGTACTTAAATATTGAAAGAATAGTCTATGATCACTGAACATGTCATCCGATGGAACATTTTGGAACTTTTACTGGATTTACCAAAATTATACTATAATAAATTATAAATAGACTCGCATTCTTTATATGAAAGGGACTTTGACTCGAGAGTATGGTGAGCTTGAATATCTATAAAATTCTAGACCTCTACTTAGCACTCAACATTGAAGATCACCATTAGCAATTGCTAGAGCTCCACTCAACACCCAACATTGACTATCGCTCCTATCTATTATCCCCCAACTATCATTGCCTATTCATAATCATCCTACCACCATCATCATCCCATTGGTGCCTAATTTCATCACCATACTTTAATACTTCTCCAACATTCTCAACTACTACGAGAGATGGAGCCAGTATCCAATTTTATAATGTCATATTCTCCAATTGAGGGGAAGGATGAATTTCTATAATCTCACTTATATACTAGATTATTCGACTATATCAGACCTAGTGATTTTTTTCCATTTTAAGGTTTTTTCATATATCTCTGTTATCTTCCATGTTTTCTTTTTCTTATGTATTTGAGAATCGTTATACAAAATAAAGGTGTAAAACTCTATTTCTTTCTCTACAAATTTTCTTAAGTGCAATAATAATGACTATTATTGTATGCTAGAATATTCATAATAGTTGAGAGAGATATTAACATCATATCTTTATACAAAGATCTAACACAAAGACATATAAGTGAAAAGTACAATAATTATTAGAGACACTAGAGCTTTTATGTAAAAAAATCAATAAATGGGAAAAACCATAGGGGTTGGTTCAGTTGAAATGATTTTACTAGTGTCTTTCATTAGGTACAATTGATGTCTTTTCTTTAGAGAAGGTATTGTTTCAATGTTGTAAGCATATAATTTATAGAACAAATTTACATGGTTGAACTTGGAAAAGTTATGTGGCATGGGCACTTTATTTGACAGATTATTTGCATGTTTACTTGGTTCTACTCTTTTGAGAAGGAGAGACTATAAGTCCACCATAAATCTTGATACTAATGTTTGGAGTTTGAGTTAGTGTTAATAGCGTATATCAATTGTATAAGCGATTTTGTGCATTATCATTATCAATATTTATATGTGTTGAAGGTAATATGTGTCATGTAGCTAAGTGATAATTATTAGATAATTACATGTTATATGATTACAGACAGGCGAAGGAGGTCGGAGGACTCTAATTTGTTGATGATTTTTTGTCAACCGTAGATGAGCGACAAAAGTTGAATGACATAGAAGATCAACTTTGTTGAAGGATTATAGCTAGGCGAAGGAGATTGGAGGATCATAGTTAGACAACGTCAGTTCAATGACTTCAGTTGGGCAATGATGCTCGGAGGATTGTGGTTGGGTGACGGTTGTTGGAGGTCTATAATTGGGTGGAGGAGGTTAGTAGATTACCGTCATATGATGGTGGTTGGAGGATCATAGTCGGGTGAAGGAAATTGGTGCATTATAGTCATGTAATGGTGGTCGGAGGACCATAGTCAGGCGACTATGATCGAAGGATTGCAGTTGGGTGACTACATTCGGAGGACAATGCGATAAAGTTCAAAGAACCTTAGTCACGAGATATCAGTATGATGATATGGTCATATGGTGCTCTGATAGTAGTGCTTGGGTAGTCTTCCAATGGCAACAGTAGTATGATAATCTGGTAATGGTGGTTGAGCAATGATCTGATAGTGGTAATCATATGGGGTTAGATAATGATGAAAGGGTCGTGCCAAAACCAAGAAGGGGTGAATTGGTTATTTAAAACTTTGACTAAAAAATAATGCAATTATAGTGGAAGTAATTTAAAATATTAATGAAACTTCATAATAGAACATATACACAAGTTTTTTTAGAGCAATAAATTTACTTAAGATTAGTTTGAAATTAATTAAAAATAGTTATTTTAGTTAATAGCAACTCATGAAAAAATTTATTTTGAAAATATTTCTTTAATGTAACCACAATAGTTTCAAACTACAAATATCATATAATAATTTATTTAAGAAATAAAGAGCAAAAAAGTTAAAGAAAATGCAAGCCGTGGTTTTATAATTGTTCGATCAAACTTGACATACATTCACTTCCCAAAAGGTCCTAATCTTTGAAAAATCTACTAGTAAACACTCATTATGCACTCAACAAGGTGAGAAAGCCATTCTTCATTCACAGGTGGAAAATGAAATTCACAAGCTCTTCCTTTCGAAAGGCCTACACTCCCTTCTTCTGCTTCCCATAATGACAAAGATGTCACTCCCTTCTTTATCTCATTGCAATGGCATATATGTCGTTCCCAGCTTCTTTTGCTCCTAGCAATGCTGGAGATGCAGATCCCTCCTTATGCTCCTCGCAACAGCGGAGATGTCGTTCCCTCCATCTACTCCTTGCAATGATGGAGATATCGCTCTCTCATTCTGTTGCTCACAATGGTAGAGATGCTGCTCTCCTAGCCTTCTCGGCTAATCACAAGTCTTTCACCCAGAGACTTATTCCATAGAGCTCCCAAACCACAACAAGGACCAATGTGCAAGATGACAAGGACAATCGTATGAACTCCCTCACATAAACCTTGACTTCCTCAAGGAATAACCTCTCAACCTCACCTTCTCTTGCAAGCAGATTGGATAAACTCTCTCAAGCAAGGAGAAACACCTCTCTCTCTCTCCTCAGTAAAAGAACATCTATAACTTCTCACTTGCCTCTCGCACAACTATTACGAAAAGAATTATATTTAAACTAAACTCTAATTTTAAATTTCAATAGATTGATCATATAGTACGAAGTGTGGATCGTATTGTTCAATTAGTTCAATTCATGTTTTAAAATTTTATTGGATTGAACTACAATATGAATCTTACAATACGATCAATTAAATCATATCAAGGTTTGTCTTGGAAAAACTATTTTTCGTCCACTAAATAAACTGTTAGATCGTACTGGATGATTAGGATTATATAGTATGAATGTCAATCATAATTTGATTTAGATTTTATTCCTTTATCAACAGTCCAAATTAGATAACTTTCATTAATAATCATACAATACGAATGTATTTGTATAGTACGATTATGTAAAATTCAAAATTGCCTAATATTGTAAACTCAAATTCCAGAGCAATTGTTTATCAAAATAATTAATTTTCTTGTATGATCAAGGTCATATAATACAATTAGGTATGGTGAATTTTAATTTTATTAAATATATTTAACACATAATTTAATAGAATAATTGATACAATATGATTTAATAAGAAATAAAGTATTTAAGTTTCATCCACACTCATTAGAGTGAGCTAGATTGTATTGTCAACATACACCTAAATACATAAAGACTCAAAGAAAAAAGAAAATGCATACTCTTATTACAAGTTTTGATTGGATTTTATGCTATAATTCTTTAATTCTCTTCTTTAACTTGGCTCAATGTATGTTACACATAAAATGTTAATAGAACAAATACAAACAATATATATTATAGAGTATGATCTAATCAATTATGTTTGAATAATCAAAACAACAGGTCAGGCTCAAGGGTTTCAACAAGTGATGATTATGTGGTAATCTAAGAACAACAATCAGGTGATAGTATAAATATTGAGATCAGACGGTTGCCTAACAATGATGTTCAAATGATGGCTCAATAATAAAGCTCAAGTGAAAATTTTTAGACCTTTTGAGCTCTCTTGAATATCTCCCCCTCTAGAGAATGGAGGCTAATTGGAGCATTTGATTAGAAAAAAAGCCCTGACTAAGTTGAAAGGCACTGTATTGGGTTGGGTCGGGCCAACGCCTTAAGCCCGTTAGCCGTCCCGCGGTCGTTATCCTCTAATCCGCGCGCCCTTCCGACTTTCTTGCAGTTTCTGCACCAAACCCTAAACCTTGATTCCAAATGTGCTTGTGGCTTACCCAGCTCAGATATGCAGATTCTATCGAGTATCTCCTTCCCTTCCACCCCTTCCCCTTCTCTCCTCTCCTCATCCAATCTCTCTTCCGACCTTCCATTCTCATTTCCTTTCTGCGCGCCGCGAACTCCCGCCTCTGATTTTGTGTCGTACTCCTCCGGAAGAGTACACAGTTGCTCAGCGGTGGGTCCGAAGAGGTCAGGGTTCATGTCTGTGATCGAGCGGGCGATGGACGAGGAGGAGTACCGGCGAGCGAGGGCGGAAGTGCAGAAGAAGGGCGTCGATGTGGAGGGATATTTCTTCGAAGGGATATCTGTGGGAGGTCATGAGACTTGTGTGGTGGTGCCCAGCCTCAATGCAGCCTTCGACATAGGCCGATGCCCAGCCAGGGCTGTTAGTCAAGACTTCCTGTTCATTACCCATGCTCATCTCGATCACATTGTAAGCTTTCTTGCTTCCTTCCTACATCACCCTCTCCCGCAAGCTCATTCTGAAGTTTCATGTTGCGAGTAGCCGCGTTACTTGCATATAATTTTCCTTCCTTTCTACCTGTCCTTTATTCTCTTGAATCCATCCTTGTGCTTGCTTTAGTTATTGGCTTCAAGGAACTTGTAGGCATATGCGGAGCTGGATTGTTTTTTTTTTTTGTTTTGTTTTGTTTTTTTTAATTTTTAAATGAGGCACAAATTGACAATTTCAAAATTATCCTCAATCTTTTATATTCCGGCTTATGATCGATAGCTGTGCTTTTAATTTTTTTTTTAGTAAAGATTTAATATAAAAAGATAAAATATATATTGATAACAAACTTATATTTAAGAGAGTCACTTAGAATTTTTCCCATGTATTTTTAAGTGTCAAAACTTATTTTTAAAGTAAATAAAAAATTTCACATCTGTTAACAATTATTTCAAATCAAGTAAATTAATTCTCAAGTTTTGACCCCATTCAATAATTTGATTCAACATTAGACAAAAATATAATATTATGAGTTAATGGCTCCTTGTTTTTACATTTATTTTATTGAATATTTTTTTTGAATAAATATCTTTTGACTTAATTAGTAATAAACATGTATGTACATTTAGAGGCCTAGTAAAAATTCTGTAGAAAGCTTGATCAAATTTTTTAGGTGTGTAACTTTCAAATATTCACATTTGTAAAACTTATCATTAACTACTACCATTCATAATAATATCATTCAATTTTGTACTTCTTATTTTGTAGCCACTTTACCATTAGTTTTAAACATTTATCAGCAATTCTTAAAGAAAACTTTTTATTAACGAAAATACTTAAGGTTTATAAATAGTAGTTACTTTAGTTATTTTTCTCTTCTTCTTAAGTTTTTTGCTTAAGCAACATGAAAAGCACCAAACATTAGTTTTAAACATTGTTAGAAGTTCTAAATGGAAACATTGAACAAAGGTGAGAGAGAGGATAGTGCTTTTGCAAATTGAAAAAAAAAAGGGGAGATCGGAAAAGGCTAATCCGAAAGAGAACATAAGGTGGTGTGTGTGTGGGGGGGTAGCGGGGGGCTGTGTGTGTGTGTATGTGCGGGGAGGTGAGGTGTGTTCACAATGGGGGAGAGGGATAAGGTGGTGAATCAAATAGAACAACAAAGTTGAAAACTACAAAATCGCGCATGAGTTCCTAATCGATGCAAATTTTGATTTTCTACATAACCTATAGCAATTGGATTATTTATAAAAAAAATTTGTATACTCTCTAATATTATTGGGCTGGGCTAGTGGGGTGGCACGGGTCCACAGTGCCCCCAATGTAGCTCTGCTGACGCTTGTAAGTCACAATAATTTCTTAATGAAGCTGAAGTTTCACATAAAGGCTAGGATTTTCTTCCAAATTAATTAATTTTGAAAATATTGGAAGCAAAATATATTATTGTAACATTGTGGTTGAAGTAATAAAATGAAGTTAATTGTTACTCTACGAGGGAAATACCAACTCAAATTCTTGTTATCTTAATAAACACAAAATTCAAAGCAGATGATTTTATGATTATATTTATATATGTATATATATATATATATTAATCTTTCATTCTTGGATAAGAACAAGCTCAAGATTTATTGTACTTTTTTTATTGATTAGCTCCTCTCCTAGTCCAATCCAATTTATTGTTTGATTTCCACTTCCACGTTTTGTAAGAGAGATCATGGGTTAAATATTCCCATGTGTGTGAAGTGGCTCATTGTTAATTTAATAATAAGAGTAACAGTGATTGATTATGGGCTATTTATGTTAGTATTATGCTTGATTTGTTGACCATTGTCGACTGAATTTTCTCATCTTATTGTTTATATGTTTTTATTTGTTGAGTTAATATGAGGTAGAGATGAGAATGACAAGATGACCTAGCCAAGCAGCTTGCTCGAGGAGCTAGTTAGAAAGCTTCATATTATTATTATTTTTTTTCACATAGTGGGGTTTGTTTTGTAATTGATATTCTTATGTAACTATTTGGTGGTTAACTTATTTTGGATTGCGTATGCATATGTGTTTTGTAATAGACACCGAGTAATCTTATGTTGAGTTTGCTTATGTTTGGATTTCTTATTACACTCTAGAGTGTATTTAATGGTACCTTATTGATCTATTCGGCTGAATCATTCCCAAGGTGTTTATTGAAACAAAGTATAGAGTGTTTTCCTTTGTGAATGGACAATGTTTTTTCTCCCTATCACTCTAGGGCTTGGGCGAGCTGCATTGAGCCTTGGTTCGTGACATAGGTATTGAGAGTTGCACGATTATCATCTACTAGAATGTTTTCTCCATCATATTATGTGGGAAGATAAGCTTGAGCAATAAAAGCTGTCAGTTGTATACAAAAAAACCATTTGCATCACGTAAAATACTTTTAATTAGAAAATTTTTAATCTTAGGATGGGAAAAAATGCAGTTACAATTGGGCATATCTAGAAATTCGTTAGGATTAAAAGTAAGTTGAGGACAATTTATATTAGCTTTGATGATGAAGTTTGTGTGTTGAACTCATTGTCATCCCTTTTTGAGAGCTAGAGTAGAATTACAATTGCAGCTTTTAATTAAAATGGTCTTATGAAGTTGAAGCTCAATAATTTTCATGACTTAAACCCAAACGAAGACACTCAAAGATAAGAGTTAGGGGCAAAGGATTTTTTTTTTCATTGGCTATTGGGAAGTAAAGGAATTACAAAAAAAAAAAAAAAAAAGGGTATACTTCAGCAAGATCCAGCTCTCAAAGAATGAATTAACGCAACAGTCAGAGAATGATTGGGCTTATGAAAAAAATGTCCATAAAGGAAAACTAAAAAAACAGACAATAAAACTAAAAAGAGTAAATTGTGAATGTTTTACGAAAGATATTCAGGATGTTGTAGTCCTCACTATTGATATTTCCATGAGTTCTTAGATTCTAGAATCAAGCATATCTTTTTATATTTTTTATATAAAAAGATTTTAACTAATTATTTATAGCAAATTATGGGAAATCTATTTTGCTGGTAATGACCCCATATCGTTATGGGAATTGATGTTTTCAAATCAAAACCACTAATGGGATTTCTATGGAAATTTCACAAGGTAAGACAAATTTCAAGCTTGAAGAGGAATCTGATATCTATTAGATGGCTTGATGAAGCAAATTGTTCTTTGACCTTTGGACTATCACGTGAAAGGTAATTAAGGATGTTATTTCAATGACATGTGATAACAAATATGACATTATATGCAACTTTGAATACTAGAATAGTCAGTGCAATAGTAGGCTGAAACATTATTTATATACATGACATTCCAAGACTAGGATATGTCAAGTGTAATTGGGATGAAATTTCTACATTTAAAAGGGAATCCTTCAAATTTGAATTATTTGGATTCTATTTTTGTGTGGGTTGTGTTCTTGGAAAGTATAAGAAAAGCTTGTTGTAAAAGTTATGTGGCTAGGATTAAATAATGGGGGGGAGAGTATGATGGCAAAGAGTTTAGGGAAAGTTGTATTGAAATTTGTATTTTGACGACTCTAAAGTTAATGGGAGATTGTCGTGATACAAATATGTGAAAATATTCCCACATTGAAAATGAAATTTAGAGTTATGCTTTTAATATAATAGCAATAGCTCTTACTCATTAGCTTGTTGATGGGTGTTCAATTTGATCTATTGTTATCTTTATACTTTTACAATGTAGAGGTTCTTCTTAAAAATGAGTATGCAGTAAAAGTTAAGTGCCTGAGATTAAATAACAGAGGAGAGTATGATAGAAAAGAGTTTAGGGGCTTTGCAGCTTGTGTGGCATTTGTATGCAGAGAACTCTAAAGTAAATGAGAGATTTCTAAGTTACAAATAAGAATAAAATATTCTTGCATTGAAAATAAAATTTAGAGTTGTGTTCTTAATATGCTAGCAATCGCCTTTACTCATTAGCTTAAATTTTAGAGCTGATGGACTTCCATCTTGTAGAGTATTGCGCTCATCAATTTAAGCCCCATTGTTAAACCCTGCTAACAGATAGAGTGTAGAGCAGAAGTTCAAAGGTAAAATCAACAACCTCCAGATTTAACCATATGGTGGCGATGCAGTTTTTGATATTTTAAACTCTGGAAATCAACGATGGATTCTAAAATCACATGTGTAGATGTTTTGGCCTTATTATCATGGTGGGAGCTGCGGCGTGCCTTTTTTAATCATGTTGAATGATCTGAATCAAGGAAGACCACTTGCTTTTGCAATTATTGCATTTAGTATTTGTGGAGTTCCTCTACTGGCCTAAGTAGAAACTATAAAGTATTAATAATTGCACAGCTAATTGTAGGGGGGGCTGCCAATGTACGTTGCAACTCGAAGCCTGTACAGTCTGAAGCCACCAACAGTTTTCATACCTCCTTGTCTTAAGGAGAATGTAGAAAAGCTATTTGAGATTCATAGGGCTATGAGTCACGATGAGTTAAAGCTGAATTTAGTTGCATTGGATGTGGGTATGACATTGTCTCTCCTTTTAACTTTTTATTTCAATGGTTTGTTTGAATAACCTCTTTTTTTTCCCTCTATTTTAGGGGAGACCTATGAGATGAGGAATGATGTTGTTGTTAGGCCATTCCGAACCAGCCATGTTATTCCAAGCCAGGTGTTAGATCTGATTTTTTAACTGCGTTCTTTCTTCAACAAATGCTCTTGGCCTGGCTCTGTAGGTATTGAGCGTATAAGTTCTTGATCTTTAGCTACATTTTCTTTATTTGATCCAGGGATATGTTATTTACTCAATGAGAAGAAAGCTTAAGAAGCAATATACTCATCTGAAAGGCACTCAAATCAAGAAACTAAAGCTTTCTGGTGTTGAGGCCCGTATCCAGTATTCCCTATAAAAGTTGACTATTTTCATGTTTTTTGTCTTGTAATTTCACAATTTTTCTGAATGTCCCTGATACATGTTCTTTATGTTGACCGAAAACTTTCTTTTTGTCAGATTACAGATACAATTTTATCTCCTGAAGTTGCTTTCACTGGAGACACAACATCTGATTTTATAAGCGAGCCTCGAAATTCTGATGCTCTGAGAGCAAAAGTTCTTATTACTGAGGTATGCTCTCTGATTCTTATGGGCAACTAATTGATTATTTTAGGGTTTAATCTAAGATGCATGGATACACTTGAAAATCATGGGTCAACTCCTGACATTATGTCAAACAAGACAAATTCCTGATATGACACCTGCAGTTTTCATGTATGGGAAACGAGTAAAAATTTTTGGAAGTAAAAAAGAACTTTGACATTCGCGTAGGTCAGGACAAATCCCCATTGGATGTAGATGAATGGCAGTTTTAATATTTGTATTTCATTTTTTTTAGGGATTAACTTCTCACGTTCCTCTTTTGAAGTTATAAGAGTAATATCGTCTATACTCCTCATTGACAATTTTCCATCTTTTTTTTTTTTGGAGATCATTAAGAGTCTCACGTTAATATTTTTAGAAATTTGTATCATAGGATTTGCTAATGATTTATGAGTTCTGGCATTATCAAGCAGTACGGTTTTGCTAATGAATTGTCATAGTTATATAATTTGATTTATGAATGAAACTATTTCAATTTATACATTCACGCATACTTGCTTGCTTCCGTACTTGCGTTTTGGCTTGTGTGCTTGCTTCAGATTAGATTAAAATAGCTCCAATTGACCTCTTAAGTCTTTGGATTACACTAAAATATGGGATTCTGGTCAAAATTTATTATGGCTTTCGTTGATGTTCAGCTGAATTGGCAGGACAAAAGACGTTGTTATTTGTAACTTTGAGGTTTATATCATATGCAATCCATCTGCAACAACCCTACTTCCGTGATACAAGTGCCTTCAGAATTAAAGCCTCTCTTTTATCTAAGATATTTGTGGAGGGGGATAGGAGAACAAACCCCGAATACACTGTTGATTTTATAAGCACTTAATTTGTCTCACAAATAATTAGATTTCATTCGTCATCAATCAAGATAATATATCATGGGGCCTTATTTAGAGAGACTAGGTTGTTCAATCTAGATTTGTTCGGTGGATGATACCCGACTTTGCTAGTAAATCTATTTGGTGAGTTGAGAATCTATTAGTGAAAATGTAGAGTGGAGAGGAGGAGAGTAAGATGGTAGAATCTCCACTATCGCAATCTGAAAATACTATAAGTATGATTCAAGAGGCCCAAAAGATCCATATAAAGTCTAACGAGAAAAGTCTAAAAGGTCCCAAATTGTTTCTTATCACCATTTATTTATAAGGTTTTGAAGGCTATAGAAAATGCTATATAGAGAGAAGTAAAAAGACAAGCTACACATAAAATACCTCGTATCATGCTATATGCTAATATAAGATGCGTGTCACCTCCTGATTAGTTGCAAGAGGGCGAAGTCAATGTCTAGTGAATTATTTATTGTTGAGCAAGCTCAAGAGAGGCGAATAGGTATAGGGCGAGTCTGCTGGCGAATCTCGAGAGGAGATGAATTTTGTAAAACCCGAAAACGACGATCATAGGGCACATTTCGATGCATCGCGACGAGATTTAAATGAATTTTTCAAAATCCTTGGAATTTGACGAAAATAATTTTATAAAATTCTATGCAAAATTCTGAGCGATTTGATATATAAAACATATATCTAATTTTGCTTAATTTAAAAATTAAAATTAATAGAATTCTCATAATAACTAGATTACCCCTAGTGTTTATTCAAGCATGGATTGTTTAAGTGAGGGCTAAATAGTCATTTAGCCAACTAAAGGGAATTAAAGAGACCGAATACATTCGGTCCCTCATTCATCCGTTCGGCCGAACCGAAGGAAATGAAGGGAGGTGGAAGGGAGACGCACAGGCAAGGGACGGACATCGGCTTTTGTGGTGGGTTCCGGCAAGGTTCTTGGAAGGAAATTGTAGGGGAAAGCCTAAGGAGCACTAAGGTATATTTTTAAACCTAGAAATCTCTATATTTTCCTTGGATTTTTGAGATAAAGAATTTAGGGTTTGACAAAAACTCCTCTTTTCTTTAGGAAATGTATAGGGAATGATTAGGAGATAATTTTATGCATGGAATGAGACTTTTTCTTCAAAATGTGGAGTTAGAAAAATTAGGGCTTTTTCATATTGATAGATTTTTAAGAAATTTCTTGAGAAGTATTGTTTCAAAGGATCATAGGGAGTTTTCTAATGCTATAGATTAGGGTTTTTCCACAAAATGCAATTTTTGTAATTTTAATTTATTTTAAATCCGAAAATAAAAATTATTTTAAATAATTTTAGGTTAGGGTAAATGGTTAATTTGGATGAAATATGTAATTAGACTAAAATATGAATTTTTTTAATATATATTTGCTTTATGTGATCAATTAGAGAGAGGGAGAGAGAAGGAGAGAGAGAACTTAGGATAGTTTAAAAAGAGAAGGAAAACTTTAATTTAGATTTATTATGAAGAAATTTTGAAGGAGAAATTAATGTTTATAGATGATAATCGTGGACCTTGAAGGAAAGTGTTTGAGCGGAGTAATCAAATTCTTTAAATCGAGATAAGTACTCATGGTTCTTTATTACAGTGATAAATTTTGTTTCTCTCAAGTTATATGATTTGAAAGATCAAGCATGTTTATAAAATCTTTATGGTCAATTTAAATTATGATTCTGTTACTCTTGTCCAATGATTGATCGCGCAATTTATATGTTATATTTTATGGCATTATCATATAAAGTTCATATGCAATAGAAATGAGATGAAATAATTATGATATGATTGTTATATTGAGTGAATGTATGTGCATGCTGAATTGATGGAGCTCACCCCCTTATGGTAGTAGTTGGAGATGTTGTACTCGTGCACGTTAAAATGGTAAAGGATATGAAAAAGAAAATGGTAAAGGATTACCTTTATGGTACTAGATGATGGCTCCTGTGACGGTTGTAATATAAATGAAATGAGAAAGTTATAAATATTGATATGAATATAAAAAATATGGTTTTATGATATATGATATGTTTAATAACATATTTTTAAGAAAGCAATTTATAATATTTTGAAGTGGCATCTAGCATATTACTCATTTTGCCTTGAATTACTATAGTTTAGAGTCATGTTTTACTTACGGAGCTTTGGCTTACTGTTAGTTAATATTTTTCAGGTGTAATTATTTTAAATCAAAATGAGTAAAAGGGGTGAAAATGTATACCGTAGGAGAGGAGCGCCTGAAAAAAGGTAATTTTATGAATCTTAATGAGGTTATGTTTATGTGTTTTAAATTTTAATGTTTTAGTGGCTTTTTCAAATATTATGGAGATAGATTTAGAGATTTTATAGTTTAGTTTACCGTTTGACCTCCGTTCCCGCCTCTCCTATACGAGTTCACTGGGCCGGGTCATGACAGATTTGTGGCTCATGAATCTTCTTATCAAGTCGAGGATCGGCCTATAGAGCTCGAGGTCGCCTTGTCATGAAAGGCGAGTAGAGATGTTTGTGGGAATGAAGAGTCCCTAAGTTTGTGGTGATTGTCGAATGTAGTGTGAAGTCCCTAAGGAGGATTTGATTGAGATGAGTGGTGATTAGTGGTTTAAGTGAGCCGTGCCGACTTTAGCTCGACTTGTTAACGAGCTGACAAGTCGAGCTTATCCAGCATGAGTTCGAGCTCGAGCCTATACTCGAGCTTGTATGTTAAACGAGCTCGAGCTCAGTCTTGCTCGGCTCAAAAGCCTATTGAGTCACTCAATTAACTTAAAATATATCTAAAAATTAATTTAAATAAGCATTACATAATAGATTTTAATTTTGTGAATTGATCCTATATTAAATAAATAAATAAATAAATAAAATAAATATTTAATTTAAAACCAAGAAATCAAGCTCAACAATCGAGTCAAGCTCGATCTTTTCAAATGAGCTCGAGTCTATAATTTTTTTAACTAGTTGAGGTAGAGCTCAGCAAGAACCAAACAAGCTTAGCTTGATTAGGCATATACCCGACTCGACACAACTCGTTTACACCCCTAGTGGCAATTTTCTTGTTGGGTGAGGAACTTTGTGGTCTCCTAGCGTAGGACGAGCTCCTTGGCAGATGTGCGCGAGTGATGCTTCTCGTTCTCCTTAGGCGAGTTCCTCCATTGGTCTCCAGTGAGTCTTTTAAGGGATCTGCTCTTGAGAGGAAGTACCAGTCATGACCCTATCGCTACCTATGAAAACACCTGAGAAGATGATTGTGGGTATACAAAGGTTACGATGACCAAGCCAAATATTTAAAAGTAAATTCAATTCTAACAGATGTTTAAATTTAAATATATTTTATAAAAAGCTTGAAAACGAGTTCTTTTCATTTATGTTATGACCTAATGTGAGTTGTGATCACCTATTGTCATTTGGGCTTTTATGGATGATTGGGTTTGCTTAATGATGTGAAACAAAATGCGATGGAGGAGTTACTTTAAGAAATTAAAGAGATCAATTGTAACTTAATAACCCAAAATAAAATTATCATTTATAATAAAAGAGTGATCCTTAGAACTCTTAGTTTTTAACTCGTTTAGGCAACGAAGAGTGACATCGATTAACCAAACAATTTAAGAAAACACCAAGAATAATTGTATGCTACGACAGTAAACAAGAATCCATGATTTAATAAAGAGTGCTTTCACCTTTGGAGCCCATACGCTCAAATAGTTTAGGCTTTAGCGGAAGAAGAGTCTCTACATTAGAATCGAGGTCGCTCCGAGGAAGAAGGAACCTAGGATCGTCGTTCTTGAATAGGTGGCCGGAGTAGTGGAGGATGATTGTCGTCCAATGATGATTCGATGTCCCTTTGACCTTTACTCGTCGATCACGTCAACTACGGCGTACTGGATACGGTCGATGTAGTCTAGAAACATTCTGAATGGTGGTCGGAGGCCTGCTGTACAGCAATCACAGCAATATTCCTGTTGTGGTCTCACTGTGCAGCAGCTAGGATTGTCTGATCCGCCACTATGAAAGCCTGGACAGCAGTTTGGTCCTTAAGGAGGTCTGGACGGCAGCATATAATGCCTATACAAATCTTGGACAGCTGTTATCGGGTGCTGGCAGTGTTTGGAC